TTGGGACAGATATTTGATTGATTTGGGACAAGAAAGCATATTATTTCCAAGAGCAGGGAGACATGTGATGTCTCACAGATGAATTTTTTGCAATGCAGGGTTAGAAGATATAATTCTGAAGGATAGAACAAGTGAAATTTAACAAGCACATATAAAAATTAAACTTATCTGGTATTTGGTTTTCTACTATATATAGTACTACTACGTTAACACAAAGCTCTAGCAAAAACTAAACAAACTAAGGATAATACAGATCAAATATCCGTGACCCTGCCTACTAGAAAAAGCAGTTGTTGTAGAGCAAGCCAGGTGTAAGTCCCATTTCTGCCATGTGCTAATTTTCCTTAAGCCTCCATTTTCCTATTTATACAGAGAGGAAAATAAAGCCAACCGAACAGGATTGTTAGAAGCATTGTAGGTACAACTGTACAGCTTAGTGCCTGGTACAAGTAAATCCTCTTTGGTGACAAGGATTGTTATTATTATTAGTTTCAATACTAATGAATCTATCAAGTCACAACTTACCCTCAGAATAGCAATGTGTTGACATGTAAATTTGATAACGTAATATTTTCTTTTCATTTTAAACAGAAAGAATCCTCATATCTGAAAGAGACATATTTTTACAAAATCCAAACAGAGTTGGTATATGGATTTTTATTTTTATACTAGCACACTGGATCACAGACTAGTTATCCTTATAATTATCCTTAAACTGATGGTTGTCAGCTTGAATTTTATTTGAAAATTTGTGAAATGTCTCACATAACTGCATGTGAATGTTGTCTGTCACAGTTGCAAACACTGTTTAAATGTTACTAAAATGAATGATTAAGAAATGAAACTTGAATTTTAGCATATAAATTTTGTTTCTCTTTAAATATAGATTTTTTGCTCCTTTTAGAAGAAGAAACCTTAAAAACATGAAAGAGGCACAAAATTATGAAGATAATATATACATACCATTACCCATAAAAGTATAAAAATGAATGTATGTAATGATCAACAATATAAAGACTTGGGGTATATGCTAGACGTTCTGCCCCACTTTGGAGCATATATGTTGTATAGATTCATACATAAATTCTTTTGTGCAAGTACCTACTATAAAAATATTTTAAAAGTATTATGGTAATTCTTAATCACTAATTTTTTTCAGTCTAAAAAGATTAGAGTCTTTCCTGATAGAATTAATGACAAGAGAAACAATGGTAAGATCTTAGTTTCATTCAGACCACCTACACCTCACTGAAAGACAAAGTACAACTGGAACAAAGTAGTCATTATCCCAATCAAACACTGAACATGAGGTTTTATTAGCAATTATATAAGTAACTCTAATTAAAACACCATGAAAACTGTACATGAGATTATTGTTATTCTATAATATTGTTTCAAAATCTTAAAATAAAATCTTTTAAGTATGTAGCTGGAAATTTGATCACATGGTATTTGAGAATAAGTATCTAATAGGTTTGTATAATGTGCTTGCCTAAAAGTAAATTTCTTTTACCATTAAAAAAAAAAGTTTGGAAGCTTTATATGTTTGAAAACTGCTTTTAATGGAATATTGGTTTGTTTATTCTTGGTTCAATGCAGATACATCCTGACATTTATACTACTATTTTCCTGCTTTCAAGGATGCCAACAAAACATTGTCTTGGTTGGATTATCTTGACATGGTCCTCTGAACTTCCATAAGGCCACTCCGGCTATCTCCAAAAGAACTTCTTTATTATGAACCACTGTGATTTCTTTCATAAGAATACCAAGCAAAAAGCTAGTGCCATAGACACATGGATTAATGGAGAGAGAGGGAGAGAGGGAGGGAGAGACAGAAAGAGAAGAGAGAGAGAGAGACAGAGAGAGAGAGAGAGAGACTGAGAGAGAGAGACAGAGAGGAGAGACAGAGAGAGAGAAGAGAGAGACAGAGAGAGAGGAGAGAGACAGAGAGAGAGAGAGAGAGACCAAGAGAGAGGAAAGAGAGAGAGAGAGAGAGAGAGAGAGAGAGAGAGAGACCGAGACTGAGAGACAGAGAGAGAGAGGAGAGACAGAGAGAGGAGAGAGACACAGAGAGAGAGAGGAGAGAGACAGAGAGAGAGAGAGAGGAGAGAGAAACAGGGGGAGAGAGAGACTGAGAGAGAGAGAGACTGAGAGAGAGACAGACAGAGACAGACAGAGAAAGAGACAGAGGAGAGAGAGACTGAGAGACAGAGAAGGACAGAAAGACAGAGATAGAGACAGAGAGACAGAGAGAAGAGAGACAGAGAGACTGAGAGAGACAGAGAGAGACAGACACAGAGAGAGAGACACAGAGAGAGAGAGATCCTTAACTTGCAGGTAAGCTGCATTTCTTTAAATACAATGGCCATTACTTCATACTCAGACAAATCCTTCCAAAGAAATTATTAAGGCTGCCGCAACAGTAGTGTATTTGTTTAGCTAGGCCCTGTGGTCTACGAACCAATGCGGGGTTGAACTGCCACACATTAGAAAGCACAGTGCGCTAATACCGCGACATAATGAACGCATTTTTTGAAGATTATATTAGTCTTCCACTCACTTTTAAATGTCCGAGCTTGAAAATGTTCCCTTTCGCTGAGAGTATCATTTCCGCCGGGGAGCCCATAAGAGACCCCGCTCTTGTTGGCTTTATTCACACTTCCCTGTCTCATTTAAATTACACCTACTACAATACAAGCACAAGGTGAATCTCTTACTCTCACTTTGAAAGCTACTTCAGATTTCTAGGCCTTTGGTAAAACTCCCTTAAAGACTTAGCTAAAAAAAATAGTGGTGGTATATGTGCGCATGCATGCATGCATGTGCGTTTATGTCAGAATGAGAAAGAATAAAACCATTATTAACTTTTTCTATTTAGTTGCTATCCCTTTAAATGTGCAAAAAGCTGTATGTGGATTTTTTTTTTTTTAATGTATTCAGTACAGGGTCCACCATGCAACTTGGACTCCTAGTGATCCTTCTGTTTTCAGCCTCCCCAGCGCTGGGATTACAGGTGCGTGCACCACTCCCCTACTCAGTGGCCAGTTTAGAGTACCTGGGGCAGAGCCAGTCTGGCATGTAGTGCCAGGGATAGAGTCCCTGTCCCTGCACTTACCTAAGCCGGTGCTTAATCCACTGAGCTATATCACCAACCCTGAGGAAAAACTTTGGAAATGAAAGTAATAGTCATATTCTAAAGTAAAATCAGCATAATGATATAAAATCTTTTTCATTTTATAATGTTTTGCATGAGAATGTTATAAATTTTCTTTTCATACTTTATCCCCCATTTTATGAACATATACCCTACTATTTATCTCATTGAGATTTTGTATTTTATAGATGAGAAACTGATGCTCAGGTGCTACCAGTCATCCTAAAAGAAAAAGCAAATCACGCTGCACAAATGGCCTCACACTCCTGAAACCCTCAGGTCCAGTATTCTTTCTCCAATATCATTTTTACATGACACAATTGGTTCTGAAGGCTGTTCTGTTGTGGATGAGTGAGATGCTGACAGTACAAAGCAATATTAAAAGCATATTGCAGGACAAAGAAGCAAAATAGAGAAAAGATAACACTCAAGCAGTTCTGGAACAACTGGACATCGATGCATATACACAAAAACCATCTAGAGCTCAGCTTTATATCTTTCACAATGAAATAACCAACAATGGATGATATACCTATGAAACTATGAAACTAGGAGAAGAGCATAAGGGAGAAAATCTAGGTGACTTTGGGTTTTTCAACATCCCTATAGATACAACATAACAAAGCAAAATACATGTAAGAAAAATTAACAAGTGGCCATTCACTATGATTAAAACGTCCGCTCTGTAAAAGACACAGAATGAGAAGACATACCAGAAACCAGGAAAAGAAATCTTCATGAACCATATGTCTGTGAAAGAAGTAGTACCCAAAGTATAAAAGGACCATTAATACTAGAAAAAATTAAGGTTTAGAAGTAGGCCAAAGATCTGAATATGTCTTATTGCAAAGTATATGGATGGAAACAAGGCAGGTGAAAAGATACTCCAGGTCATGTCATGCAATTGCAAATACCAAGGACCAAATACACCAACATACACCTATTAGAATAGTTAGTACTGAAATCATGAACAATTGTCAATGAGGATGTGGAGCAACAGAAAATCACATTTATCTTTTTGTATTAGTGCAACATGGTACACTCACTTTGAGATAGTTGGACAGGTTCTTACAAAGGTGAATATCGACTTTTTTTTTTTTTGTACAGGGTCTACAGGGTCTCACTGCATAGATTGGACTCATAGAGATCCTCCTGTTTTCAGCCTCACAAGCTTTGGGATTACAGGTATGCCCTACCATGCCCACTCTCAATCACCCTCTCAGCATGCCCCTGGGGCGGGGCTGGCATGGCATCCTGGGGATGGAACCCCACCCAGTCTCTGTGTCTGCCTAAACAGGCACTTTTATCCACTAAGCTATCTGGCTGGCCCTGGTGAACATCAATTTACCACATGATCCAGTACTTGAGCTAATGAAAAGAATAGTCACTATGTATACATAATTTTAACAACTGTAGTAAAAGTTGCAGACATTATCAAAATCTTGAACCAGAAGCCTTCAGGCCTAAAGTGTGTTACATGGGTTAGGGAATTATTTTAATTGACATGTTGCAGCTTATACTACTAACAATTAAGATACACTGTGATCAGATCACTAAAAGGAAGAATCACTTGTTAATTCCACTCACTTCTTTCTGTAACTCCATGACATCTGATACATAATGAAATTAATGTACAAAAATTAGTCTTTTATGATACTGCTATATGAATTTCCTTTGTTTGCACACAGACATACATACATACACGCTTGAATTCTGAGGATGATCTTCAAACTGGGGATATAGTATGTGCTTTTTATTCACAGAAGACATGCATTCTATATGTTAAATAAAACAAGACACCAACTGGGGGTGTAAAGTCTAAACTCGGAGACACACAGCCCACCTGTAAAATCCTGGTGGCACCCGCTGCACCACAAAGCTCTTCTCCATGTCCTGGAGGATGTCATTCAGCATTCGGACACGGACAGGGGCTCGTTCCTTGGGATCGTTGGCAGGTCTCATCTCATCTGACTGAAAGAGTTCAGCGCTCTCCCTCAGGCGTGATGCCACAGCCAGCAGGTGATGTGCATTGAGTTGATCACCTGGGGAAGATAAATGAGCCCATCTCAAACGAGACATCCTCAAGGGAGCACAACAAACATTTCACAGTCACAATTCTTAGAAACCAGACAGACCACTGGAGATGACAGGATTCATCACTGCCAGATCTCTTTTTTCTGTCACTTAACAAAAAGAAATAGATATATTTAAGTCTGCCTTTCAATGTTAGTAATGTACTCCTTCTGCCAAAACTCTTGTCTAGATGTTTTCCTAGTTTATTGTTTAATTCTACTCATACTATTGACAGTAAAAAGGTACTTGTTGAGAAATCACTATTTGCCAGTTTGAAACACTTTACATAATTAACTCATTTACTATTATCAAATCTTATGCATTTTATAGAATAACTACAAATCAATTAAGAAAACTGTCACAAATCTTCAAACAAGTAAATGGCAAGCAAGAAGGAGAAACCTCACTTTACTGACTCAAAAATTCATAATCATCTTGAACTTGAGGGGGAAACAAACGAAACGAGAGGTCTCTTTATGAACATGGGATGTGCTGCTATGTCACTAGATGTATAGTGGTCTCTTTTTTATTGACTATAAATTTTCTGTTATGTAAAGTTGAGAATGTGACATTAAGACAAGCTAATGGCAGGCCAGCGAGATAGCCCAGTGGACTAAAGCGCCTGCTTAGGCAAGCTTAGGCAAGCACAGGGACTGCTGTTCAATCCTTGGCACCACAAGTGGCTCCAACTCCACCCCCAAGGGGGCTGAACCTGCCACAGAGTCCAGGCGTAGTGGTGCACGCCTATAATCCCAGCACTGGGGAGGCTGAAAGCAGGAGGAACACCATGAGCTCTAGCTGCGTAGTGAGACCTTGCAACAACCAAATACAAAAAATTTAAAAAATAAAAAATAAAAGACAAGCTAATGGTGAGAAGGAAGGATGCAATGGGGCCTTAATGAGGGAGAAAGTCAGGCTAAAGGGAAAAATCACAGAAAGCCTTTTCCATCTGAGGTCCAAGGGTCACAACTTCCCCAATACCTGGCCTGTATGAAGATGCGGTTTCTTGACGTCTAGTAGTAAAGCCCTGGAATTTGCATTTAAACATGATATTCCAATTATTTTAAACTTTAAGAACCAATGCAGAAAAGTAATATGGCAAAAAAAAAAAAAAAAAGGGAAAATCAGGTTAGAAGTATAATGGATCCCCAGAATGTCTACAATGTAATGACCCTGGTCACCAACCTCTAATAGTAATCTTACTTCTCATTTTCCTTCCATCAGACGGTTTTACAGGTAAACTTACTTAGAATCCAGCAGTGTTGACAACCAATACCTCTTGGTTAAATAAACAGAGTTGTTCCAATAAATCACATTTAGAAAAAGTTTATAACAAAGGAAGATTATATAATGAGATAATTCATTTGATAATGGCTACAAAAATATTTACAGGCAAGCAAGTTTTCAGAAACATTCTCATAGAATATTATAATTTTTGCTGATTTTCTATATTCACAATCAAAGTTACAGATTGTGGTAGAAAGAGAAATAATATTGAAGCTAATATACATCTCTCTGTTCTCTGAAGTCCATATAAATGAAATCAGTTGCAGAAGTTTGCAAAGTTTTGGCATTTGATCTTCTCAAAGTGCATTCCACATTCACTGATCATCTTGTTTTGTTTCCTGACAAAACTGCAGACTACAAAGAGTATGTATTTTTGTTCATTTTGTAATTAGCCTCAAATAATTTAATGTCATTTTATGAAGACATGAGTTTTCTTAAGTTATGCTTCACCAAGTTTAATGCATGAAGAACTTGTGGTGAATATCTTTGCGCAAGGAAAGAATGAGACAGAGAAGGCACAGTTAGATTACTCTGGTACTGAAATCCTGAAAAATAGAGAAAGCAGCTCGACATCCTTGAAAGTCTTCCAGTTAAGAATGAAAAATCTGTTCTGACCTAATGTACATTACAGAACTGAAGGCATTAGCCCTGAATCAAGTGAGACACATTGTACCATTCTACCTCACTTAACTGTAAAAGAATTTATCTCTTGCAGTCATGCAAATGCAGAGAACTGACAGCTTTAGGAACTAACCAGTGCCAGAAGAGACCCTGAGCCTGGAAAGCTCCACTCACAACATGCACCTCCAAGTACAGCATGCACTGCTGCAAGTGTAGGCACTTACAGACTGAAAGTAGCTCTAACTCAATAGCCACTCAATCATTTTGATATACAAATGTTGTTCTAAAGATTTGCAGTAGACATTCCTCTTTCAATTAGAGCTTTCTTGTACCTTTAACTAAGAAAAAAAAGCCACGTTCTATATCAAAATTTTTGTGAACTCCAAGTGAGCAATCCTGCATGTTCCTTAACAACCCTCTGACAATGTCAGCTCTGTAAGGGAGGACATTTTAATCTGATTCTTATATCGTTATTTTTCTAGCACTTAAAACTATGCAAATATTTCATTCAATTTATGAATGATTGTATTATTTATATTTAGTACAGTGTCATAACATCTACAACATTTTTGTCTTTATATGTCTTGTCTTAACTAAAAACAATACCACCAGAGTAGCAAGTACATTTTGTCTTTGTATCTCCAGATGTTTTCACAATAGATGTTAAAAACTGCTGAATGAAAGTTGAATTACAATATCCTCTTTAACTTATATTATTATTATATGAAGCATATGTACTAAACCATTTAGACAGACATTTGGTGCAAAGTGAGCATCAGAAAATACTATTTCTTTTATTTTCTTAGTAGAAATTAATTATATTTGGAAAAGAAAACATTTTAAAACAGTAGAAGCTATGTCAAGAGGAGTTAAACTGTACTGAATTAAAATATTTCCTGAAAATCACTATGAATATACAAAATTTTCCTACAATATTATGTCAGAGAACACAGGAGTGTTGATTTTGTTATCAGTTCAGATTTTAAAAGTTTCAGGTTCATTTGACTAATAGGTATCAAACATAGTGAAGAACATTGTATCAATTATTAACAGTGTGCACTTGAGTAAATTATTTAAATTCTATTCTTCAACATCCCTGGAGGAAATGATAACTGTTATTTTTAAAATTAAGCTCAGGGAAAAAGTTGAACCAATGACTGATCCTGGAATTCCCTAAAAGTCAGGAACATCTCAGAGGAGCTATTGAAAGCTCTAAGACTTAGAACTAAAGCACTTGAGTGAAATCCTTCCAATTGAAAAAAATGCTACTCATGTCTGCTTCCTTTTATCCCCATCCTACCCCTCCCGAGGATGAGTCTACTCCTCAACTAAACCTTTCCATTATTGTAGCAGTTATACAAAGGATGCAGCTAGATAGCGTAGGAAGCATTAATTATTAGTTGCAAAGGAGAGGAATGGAAGAAAGAAGAGATGGAGGGATGTAAGACATTGAATATTGAAGTGGAGTCTGAGATCTAGGCCAACGAATTCAGCAAATACCCAAACATGCACTAGAAGAAACATACCCCGGCCACTTAGGATACTCTGTGGTTTCCAACCAGACAACACCGAAGCATCCTCCCCTGAAAACAGCATGATGCATGTGTGAGCTAGAGTGGAAAAAGCAGGGTCTTTGTACTCTGCCAGACCTAGATTTAGTCCCCAATTTGTGACTTAATAAATGTATACATTCTACCAAAACATAAAACCTCTTTGAGGTTCAGTTTCTTAATCTCTAAATTTTACTTAATCCTCAATTCACCTCATTGAACTCAAGTAAAGCAATGCCACAGTACATGTAAGACACACAGCACAACACCTAAAGGTGTGCAGCATGATCTTGAAAGTGCCACAGTGTTTCCCAGAGAATTTACTTTTTCTGAAAATCTTTGATTCATGGTCCCAACATATATTGAGATATTTTTTAAATTAAAAACTTATTTATTTGGTACAGGGTCTCGATATGCAGTTCAGATTCCTAGTAATCATCCTGTCTCAACCTCCCCAGTTCTGGGATTACAGGCCTGTGCCACCAGTCCAGTTTTGGGGCTGGCACAGCATACAGTACCTGGGATCAAACTCAGGTCCTTACACTTGCCAGGCAGGTGCTTAGACCACTGAGCTGTCTTCCCACCCTGTCCCCAAATATACTGTAACATACTCCACAAGCTCAGAGGTCCTCAATGCATTTCCAATCTTCTTAGGGTTTCCAAGTAGGCAACTAATTGCTATGCTGACTGCACCAACTAAACACACAAAGATCTAACCTGCCTGACCTGGGTTCTGCAAAGCTACCGTATCTTTTCCTGCAACACATCATGACTTGATGAATTGTACTAACATAAACCTTATGGATTAAGTCTGTTTTATAACCTAGGACAAATATACAACTGCTCTATTTTAAAGAGTTCTGTTTTTACTGTCTTGGTATTTCTTCAGTGTGTCATACTTCAAGAAGTTTTTTTACCTTTGGGTTCTATTTTGTGATAGTAGTTTTAAAAACTCCACTCAATTTCATTTTAAACTGAGAGTCCAAAATTACATATTTTTATCAAACAAACATAGACTTTTTAAAAATAGTATTTCACAGAACCTATTTTACTGGGGATGAGCTCATCACAGTTTTAAAGGTACTAACAATTGTACAATCACAGCTTAAACTTCACTGATTTATAGTGACAAGAAAAAGTATGATTTATGTTCTGCATAACACAATGACTAAGGGTAGAATAGATTATTGGGGGGTATATGTTATTTATTGTCATCTTAAGAATATCTTGTGGCATCCCTAAAGCGAGAAGAAATTGCCAACATGATTTCAGCCAGGGAAACAACAGTCCTTTATTATCCTACATTTTCTATTCTTCATGCTGTCTTCTTTAGTATGAATCACAATGGATCATCTCAGCTGGTTAGTTAAAGGTGTTAAATAAAATTCAAAGAAGAAAATGTGGGAGTTAGTATACTAATACTCAAATGATCTAACAATGAGTTTTACAGTGCATGCATAAAACCATCTTATTTAAAGATAAATATGCTAGAAGGTAATGGATAATTATGG